CTATATATAATATATATATATATATATATATATATATTATATATAGTTAGTTTTGTGTTCGCTCAGTCCTGTACTGGATGTGGAGCTGTACCTCCCAGACAACAAACGTTCCTCCCTCCAACAAACTGGTCCAGACGACATGATTTAATGGAGTTTTGAAATCATCTTTAATATAAAGATACCCAGTGCGTGGAAACATTAGTTTAATGTTGGACATGTCACGTTCATGCATGTTCTGCTTTCAGCTGCCCGGTCTGTCCCCTGGTTCTCTTAGGGACCGTCAACAAATGACCGAGCTATGAGCTTGGTCTGAACACGTTGTAATATTTTACATTTATTTCCAGAGTATGTGTCAAAGCAGCACCAGGTATCACAAGTTTTCTCACTATATTTCTGCATGGTAATAAATTAATTCTCACTTTTTAAAATCCAGAACAACACGGTGGCACTTGTTTCAAAAGTACCGTCACTTTCTTATAAAACATCAAAGTTCATTCAAAGATTCAAAGGTTCTTTGTTTGTCATTCGCACCACATGTGGTGCGCGTGGTGCACGTGGTGCGAGTGGTGTGTGTGGTGCGCGTGGTAAATTCAAAGACTTAACAGAAAATAGACGAATAGCTCCCACACACAGGGTCCCAGTTCCATCCAACAAAACTCCTAAAATGTAAAAGCAAACCAGTAATAAGATCTCGCACTCGGCACACGCTTCATCAGTCTCAGAGTCCCAAGTAAACTGTTTCCCCACTTACAGTACACTCCTTTAATGGACCAACCAGTTTGCTGGTGGCTGATGAAGTCCTCTGGATAGAGGGCGAAACATCTTTCCACAAAAAAGAAACTGTCCAGATGACCATTACTGTATTTTGTACCTGGATGATTGAGCATGAACTTTGATGCTTTCAAAGAAAGTGACAGTACTTTTGAAACAAGTGCCACCGTGTTGTTCTGGGTTTTAAATGAGAATTAATTTGAAATATACTGAAAACTTCAGTTATGATTGATGGTGCTGCGTGGACAAACGCTCTGAAAATACGGTAATTTGTTGACGGTCCCTAAGTGAACCATCGCTCGCGGCTCGAACACGCGCACTCCACGGAGCATGGCCGTGAAATATTCAACTCAACGCTAATGTTTCCACCGCAGCGCACGCGGACATCTTAATGTTCAAGGCCGATTCAAAATTGAGTTTATTTTTGTAGCTCCGAGTCTCAGACTCCTGCCGGAACCTCTCTGCTGCTGGTGTCTGTGACGTCACTACATCCCCTCCGGGCCTCCGTACATTGTAGCATTTATGCTAGTTGCGGGTTTGTGACGCCGCAGTTAGCGAGAACTGCGCGCGACCGAACTCCGAATAAAAGGAGCTAAATGTAAAATAAGAAGTTAAAATGTTGTACTCACAGTGTTCCACGTTCTTTGACATGGTTTTAGCGAGGTCTTTGATTAGTCTCCTGTTCATAGCCGACATGTTAAACATGTTGAAATGTGGAGACGAAACTGCGCACGGTTCAAAACGGCTCGATGGCGACACGACGTTCCCATGGCAACGGGCGTTTAAACCCGGAAGTGTTGGAGCTTTACTTTTTTTTTTT